GCAACATTTAAACATAATTCTCAGTTAATAAGAATTAATGCTAATAGGATCTAACCTCACATTTTATATTTTGAATATTATTCTGTCACTGCTATAATTTTTTAACTCATAAAATAACCTGTAATTTTTTAAATATTTGTATGTGTATATGTATGCGTGTATGTATATATATGTGTGTGTGTGTATACATATATATATGTAAAAATTATATGATTTTGTAAGTGTAAATAACTATGCTACTTTTTCTATGCCTATTTTTCTCAGGGAAATTGCTTCCTTTTCACCTAACACTTGTAAAATTGTTAATCACATATTTATGGCAGATAATATATGAAAAATATTCAGTTACTGTTTTTAGAATTTTGAATATGCAGTACTTTTCAGAAAAAAATTACTATTAAATCTGAATTTTTAGATTTGGCTAGTGGAGTGGAGGAAGTTATCTACAGATTTTACCAGATCTCATTAGCCAAAAACTGTACTTGTCTATCCACAGTTAGAATGATGGAAACTGTTCAACAGTAACCAAGAAAGCACACAAAGTCCAAAGGGGCTCTGACTTGAAGTAGTGATTAGTAGTTAGCAGACTTGACAAAGTAAGAAAAAGTACCAGCTTTCAAGGAAAAAGATGAAAGCTGAAGAAGTCCTTTCCTGTTCTAGATCAAAAACAGTGGGATGTGGACTTTTATGTCTGGTTCTAAGTCATAAAGAAACTTCCAAGTGCCTTCGCTTTGCAACTTCCAAATCAGACCCAACATTCTGCTGAACTTTTTGATTGGGAAGGAAAATGTGTTCACGGAGGTGTGGTTTTGAAACTGAAGATGCCAGACTTACAAATACCTACTGAAAGTCATGCTGTGTATAGCTATCTATCTTAAAGTACTAAACGGCCACTGTCTTAGCTGAGTCCTTTTTATTTCAGATCTCGCAACTCATATTTTTAAATTGTGCATAATAGTTGCCAAATACTTGAGGTACACGTAAGGAAAAGACCCTTATTTTAGACAATGTCTGAGAAATGAAGAGATGAAAAAAAAAACTATAAGCATACTCAATATTTAATGCATAAATTTTTACTATATCAGACTTAAGTATACCATCTTCTGCTGAATCCAGTCCTGGAAGGTTTTACCCCTTCCAAAGGACCTATGCATATCACATATTTCTAGTCTGGTTTACAGATACTTGCCAGAAGCCACAATCTTAAAAAAGCTAAAAGCTAAAATTGAATTAATCCCTAGTTGTATGTAAAATAAGGCACTCCATTTTTTTTAATTGATTCTCTGTGTGTGCATGCACACGCACACACAAAGTATTCCCTTTTGCACACACAAATCTTCATTCCAACTGAGCAGTGAAAAGAAAAGCAGGATGGAGAAAGGGGGTGAAAAAGAGATAGTCATATTTGGAATGAAAAAAGAAAAGGTGGACCAAATTGGAGGAGAGGGGACAAGATAATTGGGAAAAAAACTATTGACCCTTCATTTATAAAAGATGAGTATCTCCTTCAAGTCAGAAGAGGAGGATAAGTAGTGATCACCCTTTCTGCCACACACAGCTGTAGTGTATGTGTGTGTGTATGACAGAGAGGGAAGGAGGGAGGGAGAGAATGAATATGGGACAGAAGCATCTGTCCTATTTAAATAGTGTCTACAGTACTATTTATGAAAGAAAAACTCATCTCCACTTTAATTAAGGGAATCATTTTAAAATAAAGATAGTAATAGAAAGTCATTTATTTTCCTCCCAGTTTTGCTGTCTTTTTATGTAATTGAATTGAACAATTTAGATTATTGAAAATATATTTGGATATAGTTGCTTCTGTGATGTGGAAATCTCTCATAATTTTTTCTTGCAATTGCCTGATGCCTTTATGATAGTTGAGTAGGCCATTTGACTGCTGTTAGTTAACTGGTCAGATCTTAGAAGAGTCAAAAGAAGGCAAAAGTAGAAATAAAATGCCAGGTATTTGCAAAGGCAACTGAAGAAAGGCAAATCTTAAAGGTGAAGTTTAAAGAGAAATATTTCAACAAAATGATAATAATAAGTAAAGAAAATAAGGTTTAATATTGCATATATTCAGATTATAAATGATTTGTAAGATAAGAACCAAGTCATTTGGCTTCCAATTTTAAACAATAGACATTAGAATTCCAAGAAACTTTGTCCAAGATCGATAGTACTGTAGTTTATCTTAGGTAAAATCATATGTCTGACCAGAAGAATTATTATACGTTGGTAGCATATTCAAAGGGAACATGCATAAAAATAGGAGTGGTTCCTCCAATTGTATGTTCACTTGTTTATTATATTTCTAGACTACCCACCAACTACCTTAAACAATGTGCATATCATAAAAATATATATCATAGGTCAATGTCATACAATAAAACATCTTACTATATAGTGATATATAAGTTTAAATCTTAGCTCAAATATATTTCCACTTATACTACTAGTCTAAACTTCCACTTATAATACCTGAATTATTCTATTCCAGCAAATAGGTGTGTAGATTTTTTGGAAGCAGATCATTGGTTTGAATCCAGCTATTGGAATTTGTCTTCATTTTATGAGATTCAATCCTTTCAAAGCACAATTTATTGTTTGTGACACATAGTCAATAATTCTTAAGGAGAAAAACATGGAGTCAGCTAGAGTATGCCTATTTCGGAAACCCTGGGTTAGAAATGCAGTAATATGTTTGGCTTAGATTAAGAACCAAGCTTGCTTCTCATAGGATATCAAGGCAATCCAGCATTCAGATTGATGAGGATTAAGTTTGAATTTCTGAGAGGGATCCCTATATAAAGTGTTGCACAATGTATCATGGAAGCATAATTATATTCCTTGTTGCACACCATAGCTATAGCTTCCTTATCCCATTATCCATAGGAATTGGGGATACTTGTAAAGGGACAAAACAGGCTTTGATGCCAAACCTACCACGTTGTACTTACGTTGGATGCAAGGATGTAAGGACAGAATTTGTATTGCCACATGCATGTTTTCATTTTAACATAATACGGGTAGTAGGCTAGAGTTACTTACATATTATTATTTGCATCTTCTATTTTATCTGAATGTTTTATTTCCTGGAGAACAAAGTTATCCATGTCATTTTATTTTTATCCTGCCTTTTTACTTAAAAGCTCTCAAAGATACTAATGTTTGTCATGTTTGCTTTTCAAAATATTTTAAATAAATATAACTAGCCTTATATCCTAGCATAGGCATATCCTGCTTGCTTAATTAGTGAAATTCAACAGATGTTTTTCTAGTACAATACTGCCACCTGTACAAAAAGGGGCCTTGTGTTTTACTGGTACTAAACATTTTCCTTGAGAAATATCATACCTTCCATTTCTCTTGACTTTTTGCACTCGTGTATGTGGACACAGAATCTTAGGTTCATGCATCTCCTTCTCTATACTGTCATAATGTAACAAAGGTTGTCATGTTATTTAGACAGATGCCAAATTTCTAAACTTGACACAAGCCACAAGGAACATAAGGAATAACACGGGCACAGAAACACTTGCTAAATTAAGTAAAAGCAGTGATGACTCATTTACTGCAAGAGATGACCACATCTAAACAGGTGGAACTAATCAGAAAAAGATCCCTAAGGGGTATTTAATCAGACAAGATTATTAGTTTTCCTGGGAGTTAGAACAATATGTTCATGTAATTAAGAGGTTCATCTTTATTCAGGTTTCTTTTAATTCAAATAACTTTGCATCCGGATTCATATATTATTATAAGTTATGCTTTGTTTAACTATGATTTATTCAATAGCCCATAATGGTTAATTGTGCTGAAACTAAACAACCATGTTATGTCATAGTGAAATGTATAAACCACCTTATCAGGCGCAAATAATTTGTGGGTCGTCTCAAGCAGAGGTTTTATTATTAGTCACCTATGGTACAAGAATCTCTCCAGTCTTGATTGCATTTTCTCTTGGGTTCAGTCAAAAGGCTTCAGGGATTTGGCGGGAAGTAAAACCTACACTGCTTTTTGCAGTGCAAGAATTCTAAGCTCAGCCTCCTCTTAACATCTTCCTCAATGTAACTGGAGATTCCACTACACCTAGCAAATCTAGAAATCTACAGAAACTGTGTGCAATTCTAAGAATACTTAACAACAAGTGTTGAAAATAATTATATATACTTTGTACCATTACATATACACCATGCAGCAGAGATTTTACACATCTATGCTAAATATATAAATAAGTAAAATAAATATAACAAAGCATTATTGCTTTATTCGGAAGATACTCAAAAATGACATCTCTCTAAAATTTATCTTCTAAGACAGAGGTCTCCAAACTTGGCAACTTTAAGATTTGAAGTTCACAAGTTTTAAAGTTGCCAAGTTTGGAGAGCCCTGTTCTAAGATGTGTTAGAATAGGACAAATTATAATTTCAACAAGATTAAAGGATTGTCCATGTGTCTTATGCTACATAGTTGTGCATATTTTAAAGTGGCAAAGTTTGTCCATCATATGCATTAAGCAAATAGGACATCTTCAAGGACCCATCATGACCCATGGCAACATTTCCTTTCAATAATAAACCAGCCTCGTTCTTTAGTCTGAATCTAACCATGATACTGTTTCACAAGTGACTATATAACAGCTTCCTGGATGTTTTGCAAAATGAATACAATATAGGAATTGACTCAGACAGCTGGTTAGGAACATTGCTACAATCCATTCCTAATCAATCTATAAAGTGCAACTAAGGAAGCCAAATATAAAATTTAAAGTTCTAAACCATGTGCATTATCAGATATGTGGTACAAATTTTGTATTCTAGTTTCTAGATCTGTCCAGCAACATTTCTCCTATACACTGCTGTTTTGATATACAAGACCTCTGCTGATTTCAGTTTGCCATTGATAACTGAATGAGTGGAAAAGTCAATGGAATCTAGACTTCAGCTATTGTATAACTATAATTCTATAATGTAATGCTGCTTTATTTGATTTTCTAGGCTGGGCGCAAAGAAAGAAGTGATGCCCTCAACTTGGCAATAGACAAAATGACAAAAAAGACAAGAGATTTGCGTAGACAGGTACAGTATTAAATATGTATTAAAAAGCTCATGTACATAGCATAACATTTATTCTAGCAGTTTTTTCATATCTGTCAATTATAGAAAACTAAATGCTTGGATTTTATTCAAACTGGGCAAGCTAACCTTAAGTCTAGAGTGTGATGCTTTCTTCATTCTGTCACATTTACAAGTATAATGTTTTTTCTTCCTTACAACCCAGTGACAGGACCAAACTGAGAAAGCCAATGCTGCCAATAAATCTTGGCCTTCCCCATATACCCCAGAGAGCATACTCTTTTATATTAGCCATCAGCTGGGCAGGAGAACCTAGGACTTTTCTCCACATCTGTTAGCAGCAGTCCTTATGTGGATTCTTGGGAGATGAGATTAGATGCTCTCTTTCCTCACCTCAGGAAACATTAATGCACAACCAACAAGGAAATGGTCATCTAGAATAGACATGATTAACTCCTCTCTTTAGTGATTTCAGATGTGTATAAGACATAGCTCTAGGCAGTAAATGGCTAGACATTCTTGATCACTTGTATAGCCCTGGACAGATTCTTTAGGGGTCAGTGTAGATTACCATTCCCTACTATAACAATGAATGAACTCTTTTTTTAAAAAAATTATAAAATCATTAGCTTTTTTTTAATCATTAGAGTCATTAGTTAAAGCAGTTTTATCTCTTTGTCCTTGGTCACATCAAAATGGAAGCTGAACCTGTGTTTTGATCTAGATCTATTCTGAAAGTAATTAAGCAAGTAATTTTTTGAGTTTTCAAAAACAAAATCCCACCTACGTTGAAATAATTATTCTCCATGAAAGGTCACTTATTTTTAATAGAAGGATCACTGGTAAAGTGTATTTTAGTAATGCAGAAGTTGAAAATAGCATTTTGCCTTGTTGAACAACTTAATTTTGTTTTGATTTCTCTTCTTAGCTCCGTAAAGCAGTTATGGACCATGTTTCAGATTCTTTTCTGGAAACAAATGTACCACTCCTTGTTTTGATTGAAGCTGCTAAAAATGGGAATGAGAAAGAAGTTAAGGAATATGCACAGGTTTTCCGTGAACATGCCAACAAGCTGATTGAGGTACTGTGATAATTAAATCCGGATGCCACACGGGCATTGTGGGAAATAGATTATGCCTTCTTTGAAGTATTATTTTATTGCAAAATTCTTTCGGTGAATTATCTCAAATTTATTTCTGTGTTCTGGAAAGAAATTTGAAAATACATTATCTGAAGCACTGAGAATAATATGTAGTTTATACAGGGCGCAACTGAAATGACAGTTATGAATATTTATAATAGAATAGTTATCTCTCTTTTAAAGTGTAAGCATTCATGTAATGTCAGTGTAGGGTTTTAAAGTAAATAAAAATCCCTGAACAAAACTCTGAATGATGAACAAACTTCTAATTCATCATTTCTCAAGTAAGCAAGCGTATGCATGAAGATTATGAGCTTGACTTGTTTATCTTAGCCCAAAAGTTTAAAGTTAGGGTAACTGAAAATCCAGTCCTTGAGAAAAGTCATTTACTATAAAAGTGTTCTATAAACAGTATAAAAGTTTTTTTTTCAATCTAGCTTTTTCCACAAAAGATAGCCAATAACTATGAGTTACACTTTTACAAATATCAACCTTATGGGTTTGGAGTACTTAATGCTTTAGTAGCCCTTTTTGACAATTGATTTTTACAGCCCATTGGGAGTAGGATGTATTATACCTTGGAAATGTAATCCCACCACCACCACCCCAAGCCTACTTTCTTACTCAAATAGTTAAGCATAATACAGTTTATGCAAATAAATTCTTAGACTTAAAATGTCTTTGGACTTCATCCTAATTCCTTATTCCTTTGTAGTTGTTAATTCATTTCAAAGCAAAATTTAAAGATCTGCGCTTGGACTGGATCACATTCTAGATTACCCAACACATTAGCTCAAATTGGCACAAAATATTTTAGACAAAAACACTTATACTTACTCTTTTGTTACTGTTATATCTGGGAAGATGAAAGTAAATAGAAAACTTGTTCATCAGACTATTGGTAGTAGCAATAGTCAGCCCGAGGCCATCCATGCCTCTTAAAATGTAATGGACAGATTCTGAGAGGATAATTACGAATTTGACAAAAAAGCATCATTAGAGAACTACAGTATATTGAAATTTAATTTGGCTTCTCTGCATTATAAAAAGCATTTCCCTATTCCAAGTTATTAATTATTTTTGGATTAGGCAAATTCTCATAAAAGTACCGTGTTTCTCCAACAATACGGCCTCCACCAATAGAAAGGCCCAGCATGATTTCTAGGCATGAGCGGAAATTAAGCCCCGCCCCAAAAATTTAGGCCTATTTAAACCATGTGTTTCCCCGCCATTTCTCACATTGTTCGTTAGAACTACACGAGGTGAAGAGAAATGGGGGGGAAGGGTGGGTGGGGGGGAAACTTGCCTTTAGGAGTGCCCTGCAGGTAGCCTAGGCTAGAATACCCCGATAGCCGATAGAAGCTTCCTGAAGGCAGAGTCCCCAGCCACTTCAGGGCATGGCGTGGCTACCTGTGTCCCCTCGCCTTTAGGCAGTCTCTTTCGGGTGATGGAAGCTCCCCAAGTGCAGTCACCAGCCACTTTGATCATCCGATAGAAGCAGCCTCAGGGCGAGCGCGCACACACACTCCCCTCGCCGCGAGGCAGCTTCTATCAGCAGACGAAAGCTCCCTTGAAGGCAGAGTCCCCAGCTGCTTCAGGGCGTGGCGTGGCTACCCGTGTCCCCTCGCCTTTAGGCAGTCTCTTTAGGGCAATGGAAGCTCCCCAAGTGCAGTCACCAGCCACTTCGATCGACCGGTAGAAGCGGCCTCGGGGCGAGCGCACACACACACACTCCCCTCGCCGCAAGGCCGCTTCTATCAGCAGACGAAAGCTCCCTTGAAGGCAGAGTCCCCAGCTGCTTCGGGGCGAGGCATAGCTGCCCGTGTCCCTTTGCCATTAGGCAGTCTCTTTCGGGCGATGGAAGCTCCCCAAATGCAGTCACCAGCCACTTCGATCGGCCAGTAGAAGCGGCCTCGCGGCGAGGGGAGTGTGAGTGTGCGCTCGCTCCGTGGCCACTTCTACCGGCCAATCGAAGTGGCTGGTGACTGCATTTGGGGAGCTTCCATCGCCCGAAAGAAACTGCCTAAAGGCGAGGGGACATGGGCAGCCATGCCACGCCCTGAAGCAGCTGGGGACTCTGCCTTCGGGGAGCTTTCATCAGCCTATAGAAGTGGCCTCGCGGCGAGGTACGTGCGTATGGGCCACTCTAGGTGGGGGAGGAAATTCAGTCACCCCCGAAAAGACAGCCTAGCCGTTTTTTCAGGGGTCCAAAAAAAATAAGGCCTGGCCTTATTTTGTGAGAAACACGGTACATATCTCTCTCTCTCTTCCCTACTATGAAAAATGTTTTAGTCATTGATTTGTATAAATGTTCCTTCCTAGTTCATAAAACAGTGCATGACAGGATAGACAGAATGTAGACTGATGGCAAATGACTTTCTTATTTACTTTTATGAGAACCTTAAAATCCATCAGTCAGCGCTTGACAGAAAACACAAAATTAGACTTTAGTATTTGAGCCCGGAAACTTATTTTTAATACTGGAGATTAAGGAAATAGAGTCTTTTCATGTACAGAAATCCCTACCTCAGTTTTCTTCATCTTAGTAATATGATTTATGACAGATTGGAAATATGAAGATTAATAATAAATTCTTCTTGGTTTAGTAAATCCTCTTCTACCTTCAGCCTTCCTTTGGTACATGGGGTATATGCTTTGGTTCTTTGTCTTATTTGCATATTTGTATCAAGGGACAAAGACAAACAGGTCTTCATGAAGTTTATTATCGCAAGACTGCACAATATATAATGCTTAGCAAGATGAAAAACATGCTACTAAAGGATGAGTGATAGACAAGTGCACAGACAGTGACAGCCACTTTAAAAAAACGTAGAGGGAGATTCAATCCTCACCTGAGGAACAAGAATCTGGTGCTGCTAAGCCAATGAAAGCATTCTTTGCTGTTTTCATTATCACTTCCATATTAAAATGTGAGATTACTTACAGTACTGTGGTCTTGGGTGGACTTACATTTTTTTTATTGAAGTGTTGACTACCAGCCCAGTCATAAACAATGCTTTATCTATAGTTTGTAGGCAAACCAGTATCACTTCTTGACTTTGATCACATGAAATATTAATGCTGTATTTCCTGAGCAAATGCTTGTTGTCAGGTTCTTCACTATTCTGATGAACTCCACTGAATGAAACCATATTTTGGTGGTGCTTATTCTGGAAGCCTAACTATTCAGTCAGAGCTCAGAAGAGCAAACCTGCCAAAATTTTATGCCTCCACTGAAAGGAGCAAATTTCCATCGCCTTAGTTTCAGACTCCAAAGTAGAATTCCATGCATAAACATGTGAAACTTTCTAGACATTTCAAAGTAACAAAAGTATTTTCTCCTATTCTTTTTTTTTCAAGGGGGGAGGATGGGGGCTGGAATCGGAAGACATGTAATACCTTTTCAGATTAGGAAGTTTGTTCTTTTTTTCAAACCCTATGAATCTAGCGGAACTGTGATTAATACTTTGAAAAGAGCAGCCTGATAATTAGCTGGAGCCTGGGAGATGCTGTTTTTCTCCCATGAGCTGTTCAGAGCATCTAGTAGTAGTGGGAGGTGCTTCAGTCTCTGCATGTCTAGGCTGGGCTTAATTTGTGGGACGCTCCTCCTCCTCCACGGGAGGAGGAGTTCCCCAGTTTTTGCTCAGCCTCATTGTGGATAGGCAGTGCTTTTTGTTCTTCCTTGGCCGAAACAGGACTATTACTCAGCAGGTTTGGATATAGTCCAGTTCATTTTTTCAGACTTTTAGCCTCCAAATCACTTTACGATCTCCCGACGTTAGCTCTCTCCATCTGGTCATTGGAGATCATTTGCATTTTTGGGCAGCGCTGTTTCATGCCCGAAGCAGCGGGTAGCTTCGGCATTGCTCCGAGCTCCCGCCATCTGCTTGTTCTACCCCCTGCCATTGTGATTCCGCATTGCCTTTCTCTATATCGGCAATAGCGGCGTGGGCATTTTCGCTCTCATTCGAGTGGTATCGTTGAGTTTTCCCCTCAGAACGCCGTCTTGGTGTGGAAAGCAGTAAGAATTCTTTCCACCCCTTCCCCCGCCGTTCCTTTTAGCCACAAGGAGAAGCCATCAGAGGCATTTCCCCATGCGGCGGGAGTTTGTTGCTGGGAAGCACGCGCGCACCAAAAATAACACTCATTGTTTTTGCCTTTACTTTAAAAAAAACAAAAACAAAAAACTGCGTGGCCGCGCTATTTGTAACTCGAGCTGTGTGAGGTAGTTTTCCTTCC